CTTTTGTTTTGCTTTTCAACAAAGTCGTTCATATTTATGTGTAATCTTCATACATAAAATTTCATAAGTGTAGGAAAGTATTATTTGGTGGATAAAGGTTATCCTAAAAGAGATGGATATTTAACTCCCTACCCCAAGACGAGGTATCATCAGTTAGAGTCCGTGGTGCAAATCCGAAAGGAGTTCAAGAGATTTTTAATAGAGCACATTCCTCTTTAAGAAGTTGTATCGAAAGAGCTTTTGGTGTTCTTAAAGCTAGATGGAAGATATTGCAAAAAAAGCCAAGATATTCACTAATGGATCAAAATAAGATAATTTGTTCATGTTTTGCATTGCACAACTACATCAGGAGAAGCACCATAGTTGATCCAGGCTTTAAATTTGTTGATGAGGATCCTGAATTCATACCTCCAGATGTATTTGAAGATGTTGAAGGGTGCTTCACAAGCTGATGCAAACATTCGAAGTCAAGAAATGAGAGTTATCCGTAATAATATAACCTCTAGCTTGATGGAAGCTAGACGCATTCATAAATAATTTTGACCATCCTTACTTTATTTTAAGCTAAACTAAGTATGCCAAATGTTTAAGATGCACTTTTACTTTTTATTAGTATTAATGAACTATTTGAGACGCGTGATTATTCTTTTTCATAATTGATGATATTGATGTTTTTTGCAATATAAAGTCATCTTATTTCTATTTAAAAGATTTATTCGTTAAGATTTATTATGCTTTTATTTGAAATTTAATTTATTCTTTTAACATTTCAAATAAAATATTGTTTTTCTTAAATAATTTATTTTATTTGCAAATAAATTATAGTTTTAACATTATCACTATTAGCATTGCTCAAATATTATATATACACCCGTGTCCTTATACGTCTTTTTGCATTCAAACAGCTGTTTTATAATAGCTAATTAACCAAACATTTATTAACAGCAAGCTAATATAACCAGCCAATCAAAACAGCCAACACAACCAGCTGTGATCAAACAGTTGACATAACCAGCTAACAGCTAACAGCCGATTGCCAAACAAGGCCTTTGAAGTTTAATAAAGATTTGAGATCCGACATGGAAATTTCCGTATATGCGAAGCACCGCCAACTCGCAGAAGCACCGCGTTCCACCGACAAACACCATCAAACTCGATGGCTGCAACTAATCGTACTAATGAGCGGGTAGCAGGGAGTGAAGCTCCACCATCGTCGCCCTTTAGATTCCGGCCGCACCCAGAAGCTTTGTCATCGCCGTCCCACACTCCCACGCCTTGGCCGGACAGAAATCCGACTATGACCACCAAATTGTGTGAGCATATATTCTCCATGAAGTATAGATTTTGACCACCAAATTTCAAATAAAAATTCATCAGAAAGTCGGTTAAATAAATTATTGCAAAAAAATTGCACTTTATATATAAAAGCCTGCGCAATTTTGAAATAATTATTTAATTGACTTTCTGATTGAATTTTAATTTGAAATTTGGTGGGCATAGTCTATAACTTCATGAGCATGCTCACAAAATATCATCAAAAACTTCGACTCGGAAGCATCTCAAATGAAAGAGGCTTAAGAATTACAATTCGTAGGCCCACCTTACTTGAACATTTTCGTATGTATACATATAATGCATATATATAATGAAAATCTACAGGGCCGCAGGGGCACAAGCCCCCCAGCAACTAGGCGGCGTCTAGACCGATTTTTAGAACCACGGTTATATCCAAGGAGGAGTGCCCACATTATGATTGCATTGATTTTTGAGTGTTTATATTTTTACTTTTAATTACTTTTTACGGTGTGTTGTTGTGGCAATTTCACATTTACGGTGTAATCATTTTATATTTCTAGTTCGTTGTAATTTAGTAAATTTAGAGTCATCCTGAACAAGAATCAATCAAGAATCAACAAAGGATCATGGAAGGGATCTTACAAGATCAAAGGAAAGTGCAAGGGAACAAGAAATCATGCAAGAAATGTGATTTGGTGATTTACCCGGTTGGGTATAGCCTTTACCCGGTCGGGTATGAAGTGACCCGAACAAAAGTGCAGAAAACACAAAATCGTGGGCAAAATATTTGATTTTGACAAATACCCAGTCGGGTATCTAAAAAACCCGGCCGGGTATCCGACCATAGGTGTTGAAAACACCTATAAGTAGCCCCATTTTCCTTCACTTTTAATCATTCCTTCTTCCATACTCTTAAGTTCAGTTTAGAATAGTATTTCTTTTATATTTTTATAGCATGTTTAGTTTCCAAATGAGGAGCTAAACTTCCATTTCTTGGTGTTGCTCTTGAAGCTTGTTGATTATTAAAGTTGTAAGTTATTTTCTTAACTTCTTCCCTTGAATATTAATTCTTCTCTTAATCTATCTATATATTAATGTTGGGGAGTGTTGCTAAGATGACAATTAGTTAACATCTCGACATTAGTGATAGTAGTATTCATTTACTTCCTACATATTAATGTTGGGGAGTGTTGTTAAGATGACAATTAGTTAACATCTTGACATTAGTTATAGTAGTATTTATTTTCTTCCTCTATATATTAATGTTGGGGAGTGTTGCTAAGATGACAATTAGTTAACATCTGAACATTAGTTATAGTAGGATTTATCATCTTTAATATTCTTCCTTGAATATTAATTAATTCCTATTCATATTTCATATTAATATTTTGAACATTACTTAAAGGAACAACTAGTTTTGTTTCATATATTAATTATTACTAGAATTGATCGACGAATACGCTTGTTAATCGTTGATGGTTTCACAAGTAAGTAACTTCGGTTTATTAATGCACGGTCGTGGTTAATAAACTTAAGAGGGATTAATTTTGTTGGTTAAACTGAAACCGTTGTGTTGAGGTTATCAATCTCAATTGATTTCATCAAGGAGTTAAGAGATTAAATGCTCACGTTGATATATGGCGGTGTTCTATACTTGACTAATAGTAAGGGTTATTAATGAACGGTCGTTGTTATTAACTACCCTCGATGAATTGGATATACTCCTCGATTGAGTATTCGAGAGGGGATAAGTACGTTATAGATATAACAATGATCGACTAAAATATATCAACAAGTGGAAAGTAGCAATGTCAAGTCTTTTTTATCTTTGAATTAAATTCTATATAAGTCGTTCATCTTCGTATTTAATTAAATTAAATCACTCAATCCCAAAACCCCCTTATTTACTAGTTTTAGTAAAAAGAAAATTATTCCTTTCCCTGTGGATACGAACTTCACTTCACCTATACTGCGTATAAGTGCTAGTATCGAACATTATTTTGACGCAACGTGACAAAGTGCCCGTCACATTACGAAAAAATGGGTTAGCCATACATTATTATGCTCATTTAGCAATGTTGCAGTGTGGGGCATTAACACGGAATTTGCGAAACTTGCTTTGAACGATCTGTTTTGTTTTAAAAATACACTTGGTTGGATTTGCTTAGATAGGAAATGGTGGGATTTTGATAGGATTATCACTGATTGGAGCCAGCCGGGCGGCTTTCAATGTCTTTTCTTTCTTTAGAGTTTTTTCTATTCACTAGTTTTTTGTTTCTTTAATTTTCTTCATTCATTAGCTACTTGTTCTTATAAATTCAGTAGTACTCGGTAACAGTTTCCCAACTCTTACTTTACCTTTTTGGTGGTCTAGTCACCTAGTGGGATAAAAAGTATATATATATATATATATATATATATATATATATATATATATATATATATATATATATATAGAGTGGTGAGTAGTCTTCCGGTCAGGTATACCTGACCGGAGTCCCGTCCGGCCTCCTCCATTTGGGGGCCTTCCCGGTGGTATTTTTTGCTCAAATTTTTTGTGTAGGTTCCTCATCAAGTCTAGTTTGTCCATACCAAATTTCAGCCAAAAATTCAATCGGGAAGGTCGTCAAATGATTTTTGCAAGTTAACTGGTCCGGAAAATACATATTCCGGACCAGTTAACTTGCAAAAATCATTTGACGACCTTCCCGATTGAATTTTTGGCTGAAATTTGGTATGGACAAACTAGACTTGATGAGGAACCTACACAAAAAATTTGAGCAAAAAATACCATCGGGAAGGCCCCCAAATGGAGGAGGCCGGACGGGGGCAGTGGTCCGGCCTGGCCGGACCTGAATTATTCTCTATATATATATATATATATATATATATATATATGTATATGTATATATATATATATAGCTTAATTACAACAACAATCTTGGATCACAGCACAAAAGATATATCCTAAAACATACTACCTTCATTATATTTTATGTGTCTCATTTGCAGGGGCGTAGCCAGGACACTGGGCTAGACTGGGCCGGTACAAAGAATATTATTGGAAAAAAATTTACACGAAATTTTTTAAACTAAAAATATTGACATTTTTCAAATTTGGGGTGGGCCAGGGCCTAGCCTGGGCACCCCAAAAAAGGAAATGTGACACTTGTTTTGGGACAACCCAAAAAGGCAAATAAGACAGGTAAAGTGGGACGAAGGGAGTACATATTAAGACATGATATTTCCTAAAACATACTACCTTCATCCTATTTGGGATCATAACACAAAAATATACTTCATTTGTCCCGCTAACATTGTCTCATTTTTCCTTTTCGAGAAATCTCACTAAGATTGTCACATACAAAATTTGGTAAAATGTGTGTGGTTCTAAATCATTCTTACTTTATTTTAACTTTATGAATTCAATATCAAACATATAACTCATTTTTTTAATAATCCTGTCACCTCCTCATGTCCCAATATTAGTGGGACGGAGGTAGTACATCTTAACACATATTGTTACATCCGTCCCAACATAAGTTTCCCCGACAACATTTTTTCATAAAATAAAGTGAGAACTTTTTCCATTGAAATGATAAGTTTTTTTTTTTCTAAAAGTACAAATTCTTTACATGGGACAGATGGAATACCTCACTTTTAATTGCTACTCCGTATAATGTATTTTTTATGTGTTAATTGGCTCTTTGTTCACATCTATGTGCTAGAATAATTATTCGTATGTAATATTTTTATTATGTTTCGCACTTAATAACTCCAATAAACAGATTTATTTCTCACATTATTAATAGAAGAATTGTAGAAGAAAGCAAAAAACAACATTTTATTTTTATCTTGTTCAAACTTAAAATTGTTTCATGCCGCATTGGCCGCAAATCACGCAGTACGCTTCACGTCTGTTGTAACAACCGCAGTCGCAATTCATAATCTGAACTGCAACCAATGCTCCAACTACAATTTAAAACTTTGATGTGGATTGATCCTCTGTAGCTTGTTTTTTCATTTCCATCAAAGCATCTTCAAAATACCTGGCTAGAACGTCCGGGTCCGGGATGATGTCTTTGGCAACCAAAATTTGCAGGTCTGCCTTGCCATCATAACTCACCATATGTATCGTGATTGCCTGCATGGGTGCTACGTTATTAATTCCCATCTCCAAAATTTAACCACAATTTCACGATAGATATCATATATAATTTCTTTTTAGTACCCTAACCTCTATCTTTAATTATTTTAAATTGATTTACAAAAAATATTTACGAGATTGATTGAAGATAAAGTTACAACTTCCCTGGTATGGAGTCATATTTAAGTTAGTGTCAAGAATTAAAATTTAAAAATTTTCTTGATCCACACAAATTTATATATATATATATATATATATATATATATATATATATATATATATATATACTTCCTCTGTCTCTTTTTAATCGCAACGTGTTGACTTTTTGCACTGTTCACATGATCGACTTTGACTACATTTTACACTATTATTTTATGGAAATTATTTTTAAAAAAATATATTTTTCAATTCATCTCATTACAAATTTTCAAAATCTGATTTTTAATATTTTTTTATTAATAAAGAAGATATACTTACAGTCAAAGGTGTGTGTTGGCAAATGTGCAAAGGTTGACTGTTGCAACTAAAAAAGAACGGAGGATAGTATATATATATATATATATATACACATATGGATGAGTTTAAGTGAAAAATACACTTCTCATGAAAAGTAAGAATGAATCTAGAACATTTGTTGCTTCAAAACGATTTGATTATTTCATCTTTTGATATTAAAAAGATGAGAGTCCTATTTTATCAAAATACAGTTTAATTCAAAAACGATTTGTTTTATTTCTAAAATAGTTCGTATGATTTATTTAGTCCTAATAAAAAAGAAAAGAATAAAAATTACGTAATTGAGAATGCATACGTCTTGTTGTAGAAAGAAAACAATAGTACTCTTTATTTTTGAAAAGTGATTGTGTAGTACTCCTATATAGGGAATTTTCTTTTAAAAATACACGATACATATATGATTGCAAAGTAATGGAGACATACATGAGGGCAGCTTGATGGGGTGTTTCTTATATACGTGACAGGGTTGCCTGCAATAGAGATCTCTTCTTGTGGGCCCATCACATTCGAGATTGCAAATGTTGTGTTACATATGATCCGATAGTTGAACAAGCTCATGAGCTATATGCAACGACTAACTTAAATCAGAACTGAAACCTCACTTGCATGAAAGTGCCTCTAATATAATAAAAGTAAAAAAACATGGATGGACAAAATATAAGTTACCTTAACACCAAGGAAGGACATGAGAAAAACCCCAAGTTTATAGGAGCAAATGGCTTCTAAGGATAGTTTTTTCTTGTCAATCATAGATTTGGCTCTCTTGACAAATTGGAGAGGATCATTGGAAGCGTGAAAACAATGCACAGGTAAGAGCATGAACCCAAATTTATTACCCCACATGGTGCCCGATTTATCGCTATTCATCAACTTTGTCATTTCCTGCAAGTTAACCATGTCCAATTGTGAATACAGTATTATAGCTAGAAAAAATCTATTTGTAGACATCACTTTGCATGTCATTTGTACACGGGCAAATCGTTAAAAGTAAAATATTGCAGGATTTTTTTAAAAAACGTACGGACAAAAGAATTGTCCGTACACGAAGAACCACACACTGGTTATGGCTATATATGGAGGGCTGAAAACCATGGGAAGTCCATTTATTCTTACAATTTTAGAGTAATTTTTCCCTTTTTTCCTATTTAGCTCACTCACTATTATCTATTTATCTTAACTAAGCCTAGTATATTCACTCTTAATCTCTGCCTGATCGAAATTTCAGGATCCACCTCTGTAAATTTGAGTGTGTATGTATAGTAGATTAGTAGTTGGAATATAATAATGCGTAAAACTACATAAAACTAAATACCTGAGGCCCAGGTTGTGGCCGTAAATTTACCATCGCCATACCAGTGATCCGGACGCCGTCCTTCACTTCTAAAAGACATACATTTAATGTAGTTTGAGTTGTGATAATTCATTAAAAAATGACTATAAACAACAAAACACTAAAAGAGGCAAAACATGACTTATACTGCAATGAACCATATATAGTACGAAGTACTATATATACGGGGTAGTATTTCAACAGTACTGTAGTTATTTCACTAGTACGAAGTATTTAAATTCATATTGCAATGATGACCTTGAAGATATTTTCTTAGTATGTCATTTGTACTCGTCCTTATACGCACACTTGTGAGAGGCTATATTTTGTTTATGAATCTCATTGACAAGTAAAGCAGGCATGTTTTTGTTTATGGACATGTATGTTTTGTCTACGAACGGGATTCATACACAAAAGATAATACTACCTTCGTTCTCTTTTAATTGCAACATTGAACTTTTCGCACTATTCACATATTATATTTTGACTATATTTTATTAATTAATGCATTATAAATTAAATTTTTAAAAAATATTGTTAAATTCTTCTCATTCTATATTTTCAACATATGATTTTTTTAATTTTTTTACTAATAAGGAATGAAAGATATTAATGGTCAAACTTGTGTGTTGGCAAACGTGAAATGTTGACTGTTGCAATTAAAAGGGAACGGAGGAAGTATCTCACGTAAGTATTGGGCATAAGGGTACCTTAGAAGAGGATACAAATAGCAAAACTGAAATTTATTTACCTTTAGAAGATCCGATTGCAAGGTACCTTGATAGCCCACATGCAACGACTCCGAAAAGTACATCATTGATGGTCTGCACGATTCATTAATTTCATCGTACAAAACTTATTGAAATGTAATACTATAGTAAAAATGATGCATATATAATTCATATTAGAAAAGAATTGTATTAATATAATAACATAATGCTATTAACAATAACGTACAACACCAGTAAAAGTAAAAGTAATAACAATACTCCGTATAATACTTCGCAATAATAATAATATTGCAATTCCAGTTAAAATCTTCCCTACAAAACCTTTTAGGGGATATTTAAATTGTACAGTTTTGTTGCATTTATCACCCCCAGCTTAGGAGGAACGTATCTTGTTCTATGATTGGTCCGGGCTGGATCGGTCAATTTTTGGTACAACGTACTGGTTATCTAGTTTTGGAACCGATACCAAATTACCACATGGTCAAATCTAGTTCGGATCTTGATTCCTTCTAAATGGGACCAATTTGTACATAGTAGTAGTTGTTTTTATTTTTTTCTCACGTCTTAATAACACTACAAAAAAATTATGAAGATTGACACGGATTTGGCATGAAATGACCAATAATTTTAATGCTAAATAGCTCGTGCTAAAATGTTTTTGGAACGAATTAAGCATATCTCTGCTCAATTTTTGTTAATCTCTACTAAAAAATCATGTCAATCTCGTGTTTTATTAGTGTAAATGACATTCTGATTCCCATAAGACCAGGAACCGATCCAATCCACGGACATCTTTGGTTTAAGAAGAAATCTGCATGTAGCAATTACGTAGCATGCACTATTTACTTCTCAATTCTTAGGTCATTTCCATCCATCCATAACATTGCAAGATATATATGATCTTGGTGGATTATTTCTTGGATCGTATTTTATTGATAAAGTATATTTGGTGAGACTATTTGATAGAATATTTTGGGATCAAAATATAAATATAGATTATTTAATCCATATGTGAAACTAGATGTGATTAGTGAATGTAGGATATACTAGCTCCCTCTATCCCGGAAACAAGTTCCCGGCTTGACTTTCACACATTTTTAGAAAATAAATTTACTAGGGAGTAAATTTGAGTGTTTTGACACTGTTTCGACATTGTTTGCACTGTTTTAATTTGCACTGTTTGACATTGTTTTTGTACTGTTTTGATGTAGATAATTTGTCAAATAAAGAAGTGAGAAGTTTATTTTGAGACATCCAAATAAGGAAAGTGAGAACTTGTTTCTGGGACGGAGGGAGTATATACAAAAAGGTTTAATTATTTTGAAATCATGTTTGAGGTAGGTAATTCAAAGGGTGTGGTATTATTGTAACAACATATAAGTTACAATTACAATACAACACAAATAAAGGTTATGAAGAACATGTATATTTGATAATCATGGGTGTGAATGCTCTTAAAGGAAATTTGAAGATGCGTGCTCTCATAAATTAAACATTTAACTTTGCCCTTTTGGAGAATACTTTTAAATTCTGTATATTAAAATCTAATAATTGTGAACAAGCTTCTCAATATACTATTTTATTCTTTACTTTTACAATATTAATCTAATTTTTATTCTATAACTCTAACCAAAGAATTACAAAAGATTTTTCATAAATATTACTAAAATAAACTTATTTGCACAAACATAACAAATAATTACTACAATTTAGTATCATAAGAACTTAACTTTAAAAATTGAATATAAGTTATTGTGATTTCATTACTACTCTAATTACTATTCTCATTTTTTAAAATATTTTTATTGTAGTTATAAACATGTAACAATGTCAATTACAAATGGAAGTACCTATAAATTATACATGAAACGTCCACCAAATGAAACGTGTGCACTTTGGATGCAAAAAGTAATCACGTGAAAATGGTGCTACCTTGTGCTATTGACCACTCATAGGTAACAATTTTATACTACCACCCTCCCAACTACCAAAAAAACATTTATTATTGAAAACTGACTCAGCGAGAAACAAAAGGAACCACCAGGCCGGCAAATCGACTCCAAAAGCCAAAATGTCTCCTATCATGTCCCCAAGTTTTAGGTCAATTTGACCCTATAAAATTTGGTCAAATTTTCTTTTTTTGCTTGTCTAAATTTTTTTTGACATTTTCATATAAAGTAAGTAATATGTAGCTAAAGTTATTTGTCTTTACTCTGCAAAAATTTCAATCAAACACTTTTTACTTTATTAATCTACGTGCAAGTCAAGTTTGGTCAAGTTTTGTGGACAGGGGGTATTATTTTATTCCCTTTCGAAGGTTTGTCAAATTTTTCCGAATCCATAGAATACTTTTCAAAAACACCGTAACAACATATAATGATTAATAGCGATTGTCCTAAATATGAGTAAAGACGTTTTGAAATTCCAAAATAAAACTTTAATGTTTTTAATCACTAAATAGGAGTAATTATGTGAAGTTTAGAAAAAATGACATGTTCAAAGAAGCCTAGTAATGCCAAACTTTAATTAAAATAGTCCTATCATGTTCCATGCATAGAGTGCATCTACATATCTGAAAAGCTCTCCCGCTTTTTTTTTTATGATTTCATTGGTAACAACATATAATGATTAATAGCAATTGCCCTAAATAGGAGTAAAAACGTTTTGAAATTCCAAAATAAAACTTTAATGTTTTTAATCACTAAATAGGAGTAATTCTGTCAAGTTTAGAAAAAATGACATGTTCAAAGCCTAGTAATGCCAAACTCCGCAGAAATTTACTCTTATTTATTCAGGGAATAAAAACATGATAGTACTATTTTAAAATTTCAAAACTTTTTTACTCCTATTTAGGGAATTTTCTCAATGATTAACGTCTATATGTGTTTTTATTGTGTCATCTATGTTTTTCACTTTCCTTTATTGTGTTTTAGATTTCCATTTTTAAAGGTATTATATTTATATATATATATATAATATAATATAATATATTATAATGTAATATAATGTAATATAATATAATATAATATAATATAATATAATATAATATAATATAATATAATATAATATAATATAATATAATATAATATAATATAATATAATATAATATAATATAATATAATATAATATAATATAATATAATATAATATAATATAATATAATATAATATAATATAATATAATATAATATAATATAATATAATATAATATAATATAATATAATATAATATAATATAATATAATATAATATAATATAATATAATATAATATAATATAATATAATATAATATAATATAATATAATATAATATAATATAATATAATATAATATACGTATAAAACAAATGTCACGGGTATTATACTAGTAACTACAAAAAATGTAAAACTACCTTAAAAATATATTTCCTCTTCCCCGTAATCAAATTTGCAATTTAACTTTTGTAGTTTTCTAAGTAAATGTTCGATCTTAAATATCTAAAATATATAATTATAAAATCAAAATAACTTAACATTTGAATAATATATATCGTAATGAAGTTTATGAAATAAATTTTGTGTGATAGAATAGTAGTGCGAGTTTTGAATAGTTAACGATCAAACTTCATAAAATTTGATTGAAAAAGTCAAAAACCAAATTTAATTGTGAGATGAAGTAGTAAATTTTATTAGAAACAAAATAAAATTGAATAGCAGAAAGTAAAATTGATTTAATCTTACATTAAATTAGAGTTTTAACAAAAATGCTAAAATTAATATCGTTTCAAATTAACTAAATGTTTTTGGATTCATTCAAGTTCAGATCTTCGGTTATAAATAATGTACTACATATGGAGCCTGTTTAGTGACTTTGTTTTCAGTTTATCAACCTTATCAGCCATCTTTTTCACCAAACATGTAATGTTTGATTTTGCACGTTGAAATATATAATAATCAAAATAAGTAAGGCTGAAATTACTTTTTAGCCGAATTGGCCGTACGTTCAAGTTATTGTAGATGATCATTTTAGATTTTTTCATATAATTTTTTCTTTATTTTATTAATAAAATATATATTAATAAATATAATATTTTCATAAATCAGTAGAATCAACCAATTCAACCACTTCAGTCAGAACTTCATAATCTTCAACAAAATCAAACGATTTAACCTATTTCAGTGTTATAACCAAGCAGGCTCGTGAATTAGTTAACTCATTTTGATTAAGTTTCAGCTTAAAAAGAGGTGAAATATGGTATTGCTTAATCTGAGTAAGCTGTAACTTATTTGCATGGTGTTTAGTTCTTTAGAAATTACTTCAAATAGGACTAAAACTATGGCAAAAACTCAAAATAGGACTTGCTATGTTTTTTATTCCAAAATAGGACCATAGTGGTCCTATTGGAAACATACTCATTTCTTCCTTCCATTCTTACCCCTCCTTTAAATATTAGTAAAAGATAGTTAAAAGTCATAATTAGATGTTTAATTCATAATAAATTTGAAAAAAATTCAATAATTCGTAGAAAAATAATAAAAAAATTAATAAAATTTTTATAAAATAAAAAATAAGAAAAAAAATTTTTTTTTAATTTTTTTATTTTTTTTGAAAATTAATAAAAAATAGTAAAACTCCATTAAAAAAATTAAAAAAAATATGGATACCTTTCCCACCGCCTGTACTACCTCCCTGAACCACCACCTCCGATCGGTGTAAAAAATGCCACTTTTTTTTTTAAATTCCACAAAAATGGCATATTTCTCTATGAGAATGCCAACATTTTCATTCTGCCAACTTGAATCCTTTTGACTTTTGCCAAAAATATGGCATTCATAATTTTTTTGGCATTTTTTTACCCCGGTGACAGGAGGCGGTGGTACCGCCTCCCTGCACCACCACCTCCGACCGTTAAAAAAAAAGTCATATTTCCTACAAACTTCCATTTTTTTCGGAAAATGCCAAAAATATGGCATATTTCTCCTTGAGAATGCCAACATTTTTTTTCTTCCATCTTAAATCATTCTGAATTATGCCAAAAATATGGAATTCATAATAAATTTGGCATTTTTTCCCCAAATGACTAGAGGTGGTGGTGCTGGGGCGGCAGAGGCGGCGGTGACAAAAAAAATATTTTTTTGATTTTTTTTTAAATTTTTTTTTTATTTTTTTTTTAATTTTTTTTAATTTTTATTTTTTAAATTTTTTTTTTTTAAATTTATTATTATTCAAAATATTTTTATTAATTTTTTGGTATATTTTACGAATTTTTATTATTTTTAATTATTTTATTATGAATTAAAACATTCCAATAGGTATAAGGGTATATTTGTCCAAGACACACATAATTAGTCTTATGGAAACATAGTTTATTTTTTGGTCCTATTTGTGCAAAGTGAATGACTTTTAGTCCTATTTTGATAATTAACTCTTAGTTCTTTTGTCACAGACAATCGGTGAGAAATTAATGATGTGTATTCAGTTACTAATTAACCAAAAGAAAGTCAGGGATGCAAATCTAACGTGCATGTATAGTAGGTATAATAATAAAATCTTCAAAAGTTTTGTACTATTTAAAAAAATCTAAAGTTGTAATTATATACGGAGTATGTGTTTGGAAGAATAATTTTTAAGAGTTTTTTTGAATATTTAAGATTTTTTAAGAAGTTATCATGAGTAACTTCAAGGTAACAACTCCGGTACCCATTTAAAAAATGGGGTATCGTACCTACCATTCATTTGATTGGTCCACATAGGTATATCATTTTTAATTTAGACTTAAATGATTCAACTGCAACATTTTGATTAGTCCATTTGAACAAAGGTACGGTATCTTTTGGGTACCGTAGAATCTACCATATTTTTAACCGCGTTATTAAAAAACTAGAAAGTCTTTACTGGGAAACAGACTCACTTACCGCGCCAGCAACCGCATTCTTTACTGTTTTCATGTCGTTAATGGTAAACTTGGCGGTGGCCAACTTCCGCGGCCAAAGCTCCACCCCAGCGCCGCCGCTCAGAGCCGTCTTCTTATCCTTCAGCCACAGACTCCTCAGTACAAACTCCAACACGTACGCCACCGTGTACCACACCACCATCACCACCTCCTTAAAGCCCCACCTCCTCCGACTACGTCCTGCTCCGACGCCACCCGCTGACGGCGGCACGCTGGGATCGCTGGTTTTCCGGCAGCAAGAGAGGAACATGGACATGATCGTAGTCCCATCTCCGAGGGAGTGGTGGATTCGGAGAAAGCCGCATTTGTGGGCGAGGAGGAGATGGACTTCCCACAATGGCTTGTCGGCGGGGAGCGGCGTAGAGACGGAGAGGTCGGCGAGGTAACTGTTGAGCGCGTCATCGTCCGTCGCCGACGGGTCGTCGCCGAGAGGGTCTGGGAGGATGACGAAGTGGTCGTCGATGTTGACTTCGGTCCTCCTCCAGCTTTCGCGCCCGTTGGAATCTTTGACCAACAGGCTGCAGAATCTTGGGTTTTTGAGCAGCAGAGAGTTCGCGAAAGCCGATTTCACGGCGTCTACGTCGAGCGGGTTCTTGACGCCGGCGATTGCGTGTACGATTTGGTCCATCTCCGGTTGGAGAAACAGCCGGCCGGCAGGGGTCAACGGCTCATCATGCACTCGTGACTCCATCTAATTAAATAGCTCTCTTCTTTGATTTGAAATAAAATCGTGTGTGAGATGGATAGTGGTGGTGTAGGTTACTATTTATAGCCCCTTTTCTCCGACCATCGCTTTCCCGCGTAATTTTAATTTCTAGGAAAAGTTTCCCTATATTAATTCGTCAATATTTTGATTGTTATTAATCGCCTAAAATGTATGCCGACTAAACTTAGAACACGTTTGATAACACTGATCAAATCGGTTGAATTAGTTGATTCTATCGAAATTTATGAAGTTTTGGCTGAAGTTGCTATATTGGCTAATTCTGGTGATTTATGAATAAATTATATTTAAAATATATTTATCAATAAAATAAAGTAAAAATTATATAGGCAGAAAATGATAATCTGCAGTAACTTTAGCTAATATAGGCAGAAAAGTAACTTCAACCTTATTTTTTTTATTATTACACAATTCAGTGTGCAAAATCAAAAGTTGCGTGTTTAATTAAAAAGTTGGCTGATAAGCCTGATAAGCCGAAAAATAGAGTCACCAAACGAGCTATTAGTTGTGAAAATAGCTAGATGGATAAAAACATTCCCAAATGCAAAATATGGTTGTTGATGGCACTGGTGAAAAAATCGTGTTACGCGGGACCATCGTACGACGCTTTTATGTTGTCGTTTGATGTGCGGTAACATCAAAATAGAAGAAGATGTGAACATAGTTCTTCAACATTTATTTTTGAAGGGTTTTAACTAAGGAAAATAATACAACACGAACATTACATTTATGATGAAAATCGTGTGGATGTTGAAAATCGTTATTCTTAAGTTCTAGCACGTACTTTGAGGCGTAAAGCAGTTCATATTGCTACTAATACCAATGATGATGATGTCGGTACAATGATGGGGATGCTATTGTGAATGATGATCGAATTGATGATCTCTTGAATGATATTCATGATAATTTTGAATCATCAACCGAACACTTACGAATACGTTCTTGTACCCTAGTTATGCCTTGTCCAAATTGTCCGATGTTTTGAATTTATTTCATTTGAAACTAAAACATGGGTGGAGTAATTTGAATTTCACTGAGTTGTTGGTATTGCTTCAAGAGATACTATCGAAGGAAAACACTCCCTGATATGAGCTATAAGGCGAGAATGTTATTGTGCCTGATAAGGAAGAAGATTCATGCATGTCCAGCCAATTGCATACCCTACCACAACCAGTATGAAAATCTAGATGAATGTATCAAGTGTTGGTGTGTCGTTTTACCTTGCAAGAGAAGTTAAAGTTAAATGAGGATGGTTTTGAAGGTGGAGAAGATGATTGTGTTGAAGATATGCCATCACTATCTGTAGGCATATTGCATGAAACAACATGACAATATGACATAATACGATTAAATGAAGATGATCTTCCATTTATGGGAAATTATAACGACATCATATGATTACAGTCCTAATTTAATACTAAAAGAACGAGCTTAATTGATGCTCACCAGTCACCAAAATTGCATCAATGCTCGTTTAAGAAAGTCGTGGGTTTCATCAAAATTACAAAAATGTCACTAGCTGTACGGCTGACACCGTGTAACCGGTGGTATGGTGTACACTTCTGTCTACGTACTTCATTAGATCCTTTATCTTCTAATAAATTGGTAAACTTTTAACCATATTTTATAGTCAAACAATCAAGTTCTTTTTTATACATACATGTACATTTATAACTTAAATTAAGTCTAATCAAACAATATTAATAATGTATTTTCTATTTGAGAAATATATGTAACTAAGTTCTAGTGTAAGTTAACTAAGTCCATAGCCCCCGAGGTTAGTTTCCTGGGTCCGCCCCTGCTCGGCATGATTCTTGATCAAATAAAGATAGCGAGGGCAAATAAAGATAACGAGGGCGTATCCCACCTCATAAGAAGAGGGTGCCACAAGGGAGAGACCATGAGTTCAACTCCAAGCAATGACTTGATATGGAACCCTACTATCTTTTTATTAGAGTATGATTAAGCTCAACTTACATTCTCTCAGATAACTGTCTGATCAGATCTGGGAGCCCTCAGGGATGGTATATCATTTTTATCAAATAAAGATAGCCGATCAGTAGATTTAATATATAGCAATGGGTTCTTAATCAAATCAAGATGTGAAATTTTATTTTCACATGCCAATTTGTTCACGTCATTTTACACGCTGACCAAACAATTTATTTTTTCGTTTATTGAAGAGAATTGTTTTTTGCACCAACAATTTGTTGTATGTGACACTGTAAGTGCGACCCACAAAAAATTATTGGTGCGAAAAACGACCTTATTCACAAAACAGACAAAACTGACTCTGGATAGACAAATACATTATTAATATTGTTTGATTAGACTTAATTTAAGTTATAAATGTACATGTATGTATAAAAAAGAAGATCATTTTATATTACGTGCGTGCAAAGATGAAATTGTAAATACAATTTGAGAAAATTATCTAAATAGAAGTTAAATTCAATGATGTTTTAAATTTATTCTGTTATTCTATTAATACAATTACATATATCATATGTTTAGGCCAGGGAAGAAAGCACTTCAATCCTTTTTTATATTTTCCCATGTGTAGTTCAACTTCCATTTTGAGCAATTTCCTCTAAATTTTAGGTTATATATATAGGGCAGAGTTGGGGTTGAGGAGACAGCAACTGCCCCCATTGCCCCCACAATGGATACACCCTCACCGTAGTTAAATTGAAGCATTGAAATGATATACCTCAAACAAAAATATCAAGATGAAGAGCAAGTACATTATTACAAAAGATTAAAGTTAATGTCTTAAAATGTGTTCGGCATTCCTCGAAATTAATACATTCCTCAATCAATGCTTTTTAATCAAAAGCTTAATTATGAAAATTATCTCATTTATTTTCATACGGAATACAGGAGAGTATCATAGTCATGTCAATTTGGATTCCTTTTTTTAAATGTATAAAAATCATTCATAATACACAAATTCATATGGACTATAAATCATTTTTTAACTTTTGATTTCTATTTTTTATTTCATTCACTTTCTACGTCCACCGTCCACGGTGTCAATAGTGGATTATCATCTCTAGCTAAGTGCCAAACGCAATCTTGGTAGTTTGGAAGCCATAAATGTTTTCCTAAATAGATTCACGAAGAAAGCCTTAATCTAATGGACCATTTCTATCAAGAAAAGGACTTGACTCAATGGTATAGTTAGTGACACGCATTACGCATGCCAATAGTTTGAGACACGTCTCGCAAGTAAGGTTATACGATAGTATTTGAAAAGGGAAAAAAATGATTTTCACTTTTTCAAATAACAATTTATACTTCGATATCTAGACAGGAATGGAGCCATGATTTAGTCATGGGTGTGAGAGAATAACTGAGAGCAAAGAATGGCTTACCCTATTGAGAGGCCTAGCATCATATTTATATAAATAAATAAGGAGAGTATTTACATATAAGTCCCTATAATATTCTATTGCACCCCATCAATCTGTGCTGGGAAAATCACGTGCAGATTGAAACGTAAAAACTCAAAACTCTGACTACTCAGATTTTTAGTAAAAATATCTTCTAGCAGATACTGAGTAGGAATATTTTAAAACTAAATCTCCATGAGCGACGCGTTCTCAAACAAAGTGATAGTCGATCTTGATATGCTTGTCGCGGTCGTTCTGAATAGGATTAACCGCAAGATAAGAGGTAGACACATTATCACAAAAAGCTGAATTGGTGTAGATATATAAATGCACATGTCCGCAAGCAATGAACGGATAAATAAGGTGTCCTGCACAGTATATGCAACCGCACGATACTCGGCCTCTGTGGAGGATTTTGAGGTTGTGGGTTGTTTCTTCGATCTCCAAGAAATAAGGTTACCACCAATAAAAACAGCATACCCTGTGGTGGATCGACAACTATATAGACAACCTGCCTAATCAGCATCAGAATATGCAACTATAATGGAAATACTCTGTCTGGAATGAATCCCCAAGTCGTGAGTAGAGGTGCCTTGCAAGTACTTGTATATTCTTTTCACAGGAGCAAGACGAGTAATACGAGGTGCATGCATAAACTGGGAAAATCAAATGTACGGCATGGGTAATATCAGAACGAGTAATAGTCAAGTATTGTAAAGCACCTACCATACTTCTGTACTCAGTACCATTGTACCATCGCTTAAATGATCTCTCTCTGAGAGAGAGACAATGTAGTACGAGAAGGAAGCGGTGTACAGACTGGTTTCACCGTATGGAGGTGAAAACGCTGCAAGAGATCAGTAACATATTTTTGTTGAGACAAAAACAAGTCGTTGGGTGTGCGACGAGCCTGAATACCAAGAAAATAGTGGATATCCCCCAAGTCCTTCATAGCGAACTGACTCGATAAAATATGATTAAAATGACTGACAGGAGAGGGGGAGCTACCAGTAATAAGAATATCATCCACATATAAGAGTATATAAATAGTGTGGGTCTGATAGCGATAAGTGAACATAGAGGAGTCAGACTGACTTTGACAGAAACCATGAGAAAGAAGAAATCCTCTGAACCTATGAAATCAGGCGCGCGGAGTTTGCTTAAGTCCGTACAACGCCTTTCGCAATCGACATATATGAGAAGGCTAAGAAGGGTGAATAAAACCTGGTGGCTGATGTGTGTAGACTTCCTCTATAAGATGCCCATGAAGAAAGGCATTTTTTACGTCTAGTTGATGAACTGACCAACCCAAGGAGACAGCAACAGATAGGACAAGATGCATTGTAGTGGGTTTGACCACATGACTAAATCTTTCTGAAAATCTACCCTCGCCTGTTGACCCTCAATAGACCCACTAACCGAGCCTTGTGACGCTCAATAGACCCATCAGACCGATATTTAGTCTTGGAAATCCATTTACATCCAACATTTCGTTCTGATCGCAAGGTACTAATTCCAAAGTTTTATTAGCAATGAGAGCATTAAATTATTTAGCCATGGCAGCCCGCCAAATTAAATTTTTATTTGCTTGTGAAAAATAAGTGGGATC